ACCCTGTTAGACGCTGTAAGGTGCTGTCGTTGTTTTCCAATAATTGTTTATTGCTTTAGTTAATTGCATTATCAACTTAGTTAAAACTAAGATAACTCAAATAAACCAAAAAAAAAAAAATAGAAGGGAAACCAAATCTCAGGTTTAGGGTTAATATAGTGGAAGATCTGACATTTAAAGACACCCATGGAAATCCTAGAAGGTCTACTCTTTTTTTTATGACAGGCTTTTAGCAAGCAATGCATACGCCGTATATTGTATGCCATTTACTAAAAAAAGACAAATTTTACGCCCTGTTTTTCACCAGAAACTTTGCTCAAGTATTCAAAATTGGAGTTGGAAAAATTAAACTTCTGCTGCTCAAGGTGCCGCATCAACCAATCAGAGAAGCTTATCTGGGGACTTGCAGGGAAACAGCCAGTGCTGCTCATGCAGAGCGATGTGATCACTCCATTAAAACAGTTTATTAATGCTTAAATTAACTTAAAATTTTGAATCCTGCTGGCAAATTATATTCGCTTTTATTCTGGTGCTTGTAGTTTGAGCCACGTACATAAAAAGTGCAAACATCTACTTCCTGACTGCACAGACGATGTTTTGAGGTGGACTTTCTTGCATAAAATATATTAAAACTACTTTTTACCCACTGATCTTAGCAAATATAGCAAAGCCGCACTCTGCCATTGAACACATGAGCAGCAGAAACATCAGACGCATCTGGACACACTTTACTGGACTCTGACCTTAATGTGTTCAAGCATCAAAAATAAAGCAGCAGAAGCGGGTGCGGTGCGAACGTAGCATTACACTTTCTGAGCGTTTGAATTAACCTATGTAACATAATATTGCACCTAAAAATGATCTCATGTCTTCCATATGAAATGCACACACTTACTACAAAAGTAGTGTTGTAACAAAGATAAAAAAATTTAGCTGCATTCCACTTTGAAAGGCAGGAAATGGTTTCAGAGTCTAAATTTCAAAATGTGATTATTGCCTACGCCTGTAAAACCTAAAGATGGGATACACCAAGGTGTACGCACTATGAAATATTCCTCTCTAGAAGCCTGGTTTCTGACTAAAGAAGCAACCAGAAAAATGCGAAATAGTTGTGTACATCTCTTAGAAAGACAAGAGTTAAAACATGTCGACATGTCGTCCGCTGCGTAAATGTAGTAAGAAAACATAAAACACATTGCAGTCATTGCCGTTTTCCTCTCTGGGTGTGTTGCACATGCTCTGCACTTGAAATCCACCATTGGAGCTAATATTACTTTCAACACTGAATATGTTATTGTGATGATGACAGTTGTGATTCAGAGTTGTGCAGAGGAAACACAGACTTCTTCCTTTTCCTTAAAGGTAGTGGAGGATGTAATTTTTCAAGGTGGATCTTAAAAATAAGTCGATCTCTTAAGTGTCAATCATTCTGGTGATATGCTTACGTAACGCCATCCTAAGTGCTCGCCCCCATTTTCACTTACAGGTGGTGAGTCTGACAGGATAATACAGGAGAGAAAAATGTCGAATCCTGCTGGCAAATTGTATTAGCTTTTATTTTTCTGGTGCTGGAAAAATGGCAAATCTTCTTTTGGAAAGTAAGCTTGTATGGGCGATGCAAACAGCAGCTTTTAAACAGAGCGTGCACGAGGAGAAATGGGCTGCTGCTGCATGCTCTCGCAGACGTTTAATAGGCGTTCCCTCTCGGGAGCGGGTACAGGGTTGTGCATGTGTATTTTTATTTAAGTGGAGAGGGCAGGTTTTTTCAAAAATTCGCGAAAATCCTCCATTATACCTTTGAGGGTCATAAACAAACTAGGGATGCAAATTTGACTGATTTTAATCTTAACTGTGATAAAATGTAGTATTTCAGTAGTTTAAGCATTCTAAAATGTTTGCTGCCAGATTGTGTTTTTATTTTCTAATCCAGAATTATAGATTATATTCAGTAACAAATATAGGCAGTAACAAATATTCCCGTCTCCAAAAAGCAGCAAGACAGAACAATACCCAGCTGTATTTTAGACTTTATAACTGTGTGAGCAGGAAGGCTTTTACAATCTTCAGAAGGATATGGTCTGTCTGTTTGACTTGTCACCAGCTATTAAATATCTCAGACAGGTCTGCTTAGACTCTCCGGGGCAGTGGAAATAAGGGTATGAGGCTTTTTGCCAGGGGCAGTGAGATATGGTCTATTTTACAGCGTCAACTCAACTGATTAAATGAGTCTAAACATTTTCCAATCCTTCAAAGTAAGAGCCTCTGGCATTCTGTGCCCTGAATCAACAAGAGCAAATATGAATGATCTTTAAAACGGCTTTAAACATAGATTTCTGACCTGAAATCTGTGTTCAGAATAAAGACATCTGATGTATTTTGATTATTACATTATGAAAAGTACAAGATAGATAGAGAGCTATTCATGAAAACACTGTTGCCATTGTATTGCAATATGCAGAAATCATAAGACATATCCTTTTCCCATGGGGTTTGTTATTTACATTTTAAACTTCTACCTAATTTGTTTACAGTCATTGTTATGGACAGTGTTGATCAAATCTTAAGTTTGACAATGTATTTATTAAATGTAATTATGCTTAAACAAGTTGGCACAAACTTATTTAAAATCTTTGACCCATGTTTAATTTTAGAAAACTGTGATATTGAGCACTCCTAAGAACTCCTAAGAATAGCCTTCATCAACATAAAGGAAAAAAAATGCAAAAGACTTTTATAACAAAATTTTAATAATAGTGTAAAAAATTCGCATTTTATAAAAAAGCGTACAATTTTTAGTGTTTCACAAAGATATTTTAAAACTAAGCAGTTTGACAACTCATCAATAAACTATAACACAGTTGCTGGTTATTTTTAATCCCACGTAGACGCTGGGCAAAACCAACTACAATAAAAGATATTTTCCAGGTGGGAATGTTCTTTTTATTTTTGCAGCAGCAGCCAGATAAATTACTTATCTGCTGTGTTTGATATGAGCCTGAAGCAGAAAAAAACTTCATAGTTTGAAGCAGCTTATTTATCAAATTTGTATAACTTTAGCAGTATTTACTAATATCGTAACCTTTTGTGTGTTTTGCTCATATTTTTCGTCCCTTTCAATATTACAGTATTAAGCCGAATACTTATCTCACTTCTAGTCACTCCTGGAATAACACTCCTTGTTTAAGAAGATATAACCTGTTATTTTACTTATATATTATCTCTGAAATTGTATTTAAATTAATATTAAATAATTTTTAGGAGAAAATTAATTACTGGAGCTAATCTGTACCAAATTTCATAGCCGCTTTTTTTATTTTCTCGCAAGGGTACAAATGAGGATTTGGCTTGTTGCATTGACATGGTTTGTGGTTTGATATGATTAGTTTAAAATTGTTTCATGGTTTTTACATCACAGGTATAAAGTTGCAGATTAGTCCCTGATTGTTGGAATCAACATTAGCAAGGAGGGCTAATGCTAGCACTCAGCCAGGATTGATTTCAGTGTGTAGAGCGCGCTCATTTGGCCATTTCTGATTTTACCAACGAGCCAACATGAAAAAGCAGCTGCTTTTTGTGTCTCTGCTTCTGGTTCATTGAACCCCAGTCAGCCTCAGCAGATGGCCACTCATGCTGAGCCTGGTTCTGCTAGAGGTTTCGTCCTGTTAAAAGGGAATTTTTCCTCTCCACTGTCGCTACACACATGCTTAGTGTGAGGGATTGCATTCGAGTCAATGAGTCGATGCTATCAACTGGTTTTCCTTAGATAGAAAACTTTGAATCAATTTGAATGTATGATCTGGTGAACTGTAAAGTGTCTTGAGATTTGTTGTGAATTGGCGCTGTATAAATAAACTGAATTGAATTGAATGATTCCTTTAGATCTGTGAACCACCATGAAGCAAGAAATAAAGATTACAGTTCTTTGTTTCTTATTCACCTTTTCAAAACATCTTATGTAGTTTTAGTGGCCAATCAGAAAAATAAGTTCATTTTATTCTCCAACACTAAAGGACTTAAATAGATTAAAATTAAACTAACATGAAACTGAAAGTAATTGTCTACAGCTGATTTCACACGCTCTGCTTTACTGGAAAGATAGTTCCAGTGGCCTCATATGGGGACATTTATTTTATTCCTTTTTTCTTTTCTTTTTTTTTTAAGTCTGTTTATTAAACTTATTTTGTCCTACTAATCGCATATGCTATATAAAAGAAAAATTGCTCCTCAAATGACGTTTTTTGTCTCAGGAGGAAGAAAAAAAATTGTCTGGAAATTGCCCCCCCCTCCTTAAAGCCCAGCTTTTTCTCATACAGTTTATACACAAACAGATGTGTTTGTGTCATCCAGTGCTTGGAGGATAATAGTCTACTACTTTAGAGGTCAAGTGTCTTTTAATCTACAGACGATTCTCGATCTCAAAGCCTTTGTGTCTTCAAGCTGCTACTCTACGCACAAGCGCAGAGTCTGACTCTTGTGTATAAAGACAACCTGAAGCGCTGCATTAGTCAAAGACATGATTATAGGTGAATACAACCAGGGACACTACAATTATGCCCGTTTTCAGTGAATACACTGGGGTTATTTCTCTCCCACCTGACATTATCTCAGTTTTAACCACTGGTTGGGATTTAAATCAAAGACTTGAATTATCTTTCTTTGAAAAATAAGATATAATCATTTTATGTGAACAAGATGAGTGCACACAATGCACTCACCTCCCAAATACAGGAAACTGATTTCATTTGCACAGATTATCACTCGTAGGTGGACCTGCTCCACATTGATTTGGTGTCCTTTATTTCTCAAGTCCTCACATGCTGCTTACTGAGTACATTTAAAGGTTGCAATTACCAGGTGATTAGACTTAATTTCAGCTATTCTTCTCTACCTTGTTCAGTTGGTCAGTATGCAAATTCTCACAGTCATTTTCATACCAATTTTGTGTTGCGAAGCAGATAAGGTACATGTGGTGACTGTGTTTCTATGTGCTTGTTCTTCAGCTGTCGCAGCAGCAACAGGAAGAGTCTCGGTGTTGGGACACCCTCACCCACGCTCTCACGGCCACTTTCCCCACTCTCCCTCAACACAGGTAAAATAGGTTTTGATTTAAGGTTATGTCTTCTGCAGAGCTGGAGCATTGGCAGGCATTCATTCTGCATAGCAATCATTCAAAGCCAATTTATTTGATTCATTTTAAATTCTGCCTCCACAAGGATTCAGAGCAGTTTGACTTTAATGTAAATAGTCTGATTTCAGCTGTGAAAAGACTTTGATTTCCTGAAATCATCCTGTAACGTGTTCGCAAAGCGTCCTTAAAGGGTTAAATTTATACTGCTAATCATTGGAAGCTGTGAAGCTGCTGTGACCTTATTTTTTTTTTTTTTCAGCTAAATCTGATATGATTTAAACTTGGATTAGTCATCAGATTTTATTTTTTTTTAACTTGTGAGATTATGCAAGAGAAACTGTTATGAAATAGATAGATAAGCAGTAAGTCATCTGCATAGAATTGCGTAATGCTAATACAGTGAATTTAAGGAAGGCAGGGCAATGAGCTACAGCTTTTGAGTTTAATTAGGATGTGGTCGTGCTGAAAAATGTTTCAGGCTGAAAATATAGATGTTTAAAAGCTGAATCCCCAACCTCGTGTTTATTTTATGTTCCAACTGTTGCTTTATCTGTAGATGCATAATGTAAACAATAAATATGGCCTTTATCAATTTGTGTTCAGACCATTTTTCAAGCTTAAGCCCCTGTCACACCTTGATCATTTAGCCATCGTATGCCTGACGTCCCAGAATCTCATAAAACGCTGGCATAAGCTGAACTTTCAATGCATTTTTTCAATTTTGGACAAATGCATAGAGTATTCATAATGAGTCCAGAGCATATGTCCAACGACAGCCTAACTTGTGCTTAATGCACGGCAGCGTAATGCCCATGAAAGGATGCACAAAGCCAGAGTCCTGAAGGGGGCAGGGATGCGCCTGGAGGTGCCCGGCCTGCATAAAAAGATTTCTTTAATCGCTGTATTAAGTTAGAAATGCGTTCAGCGGTCTTCTGGAACACGTTAAATACATTGATATGCGTTGGAGATAAGTTCTTGATAAGTTACGCATAAGTTATTCCTAGGTTTTGGACAAGCTAGACACCATGACTTATGAGTTACTTACACTTAATGTATGTCAACGATCAGATAACTTACCCTTAATTTATACTTGCCCCACGTATTAGCATACCCTGTAGTCTCGATTTACTTGCCGTATGTGGACGTGTCCCAGTGTACTTCAGTGTGCTCATCACTTATACAGAACTGACCAATAACTTATAACGTATGCCAGAGTTTTTGCCAGATTTTTCCTACGTTAAGCATACGCTGGCTAAATCGTCAAGGTGTGACAGGAGCTTTAGTCAGGGCCAGGAAAAGGTTGTTGAGTTTGTTTAAAATTTGAATGCAACAGCACAAAAGAAAACTGGATTTTTTTTTAAATGTCGTAATGGTATTCACAGTAAAAAATGAAGACAACATTGAAAACCTTTGAAAGAACAAAAGAAAAACTGGGGGAGTACTGCAACAGAGAACTTAAAACAGACTGCTAAAACATCTGGGTTATTGTAAACAGAGGTATACAGAAATAAGGAATGACTCGGTCATTAGTTCAGTTTGAGATTTCTCCATATTTGTGTTATGTTTTTGCTTTTTCAAACCGCACTGTATGCAGCACACGGCCCCTTAACACTATCAGGCAGCTGCGCTCGTTTAGAACAGTTTGGCTCAAGAGCTCTTCATAGCAGCAGTGTGCAGATGCGCTCCCTTTTGAACTCAATCATGCTAAGGATTATCTAATCACTGAGAAAAATCAAGCTGTAATTGGCCACTCAGCTGGCTGCCTGTAAACAAACACAGTCTCCAGGGTACCCCTATCGCTACACCCCAGTAAAACCATCCAGGCTGAGGCTCTCCCCTGAATTCATTCTTCACATACTGGTATTGTAATGTGTTGAAGAGTAATGTTAAGCTCAAATATCGGCTCTTAAGAGTGCCTGTCTTTAAGGTTTGAAGAAATTATAATTTTTATTTTTTTGGGAGGGACATAACCAAATGCAAACAGAAACAAGACATTGTTTGATGTATTATTATGTGTCTGTTTTTCCAGCTGAGAATTGTTCGGCTAATGACTTTTTGTTTCCTTGTTTAGCTGTGAGCAGCCCTCTAGACAGCCCTCGAAATGTGTCAACCAGTGCCTGTCTCAACTTTCCATTTGCCCGAAGGTATGCTAACTCTTACTGTAAAGCTTGTTTTTCTTGTTGAGCTGCATCCTAGGTTGTTCCCAGCAATAATTTTTTGGTGATGCTGTTGCTTGATTTAGTTTTTGAATCAACTGCGTGTGACTTTTTTTCTTGTTTGGTGGAAATTGTGTTTCTTTTTCTCTTCCTTACCCTTAAAACCTACAGTCTGTAAGAATGCAGAACCTGTTTTTCCCTCACTGTCTGAGATAAGATCATACAAAACTTTTTTTGTGTTTTAGATCAGTTAGGATTGCTAAACAGGGTTTGACGTTAAGGATTTTTTCACATTTCATTTGCCCAGAAACAATTTTTACTTGCCCAGTATAATGTTTGATAAATATAATTCTTAATATTCATTTTTGTATATATATCAATGAAACATGTTTGTTTTTTAAATGTTTTTTGTAATTCAGTATTTTTTAAGTTTACAGGTTCCTGGTGTGTATATGCATGCGTCAGATAATGAACTCAAGCCTACATTACCGTGTTAACATGCTTTTCAATCCTTCTTGTAC